AGGCTCAGCTGCTCTGACAGCAGGCTCTGAGTGCCGTGCCCTCCACCAGCACTGGACTTCCAGACCCCAGGCTCAGCTGCACCGGGGTCCCCAGCAGTGCCTCCAGGGCTGGCAAACACACACACAGTGGGGGGGCATCTTCCACATGGAACCACAGGGCTCCCCTTTGGAGACTACCCTGACTCAATTCCCTTGTGAGAAGCTTCAGATATCACCCTTTTCTCCACCTGTAGAAACTGATAAACTGTCTATATCTCCAGCAAAAGCTGACATCATGTGTCCACGCCCCTCCCAGGTGCTTCCTGTGTGCAAGGTCAGCTCACTGGCCTGCACATGTTAGAGGCCTGTTTATTACCAGTGACAAAGGATCCTGGGGGGCAGAAAGCCACACCCTGCATTTGGACACGGTGCTGCTCCCAGCAAGGCTCAACTTATAGAGACGGCTCACACCTGCCCAGGAGAGAAGCGAACACCTGAGCAAACACTGCTCTGGGCGGCCAGGCTGCCTCCCCTTGGGGGAGTAAAGTGGCAGAGTCGTGCTCCTGTGTTAGCAGGAGGGTGCAGGAGGGAGGGCAGGGCCTGTCTCAAATGTAGACATTTCCTGCCTGCCTGACAGTAGTTAGCAGAGCCCACCTTGCTCCTGTGTAGATTCTAGAAACAGCCACATAAGACCACTGGACCCTGCTGGCTGCAGGGCTTTCTCCTGTAGCCGGTGGGTCATAACATTGAAGAAGGATAATGGACCGGCCATGCTCAGTGGGGCACCACCTGGCTCACGTGTGGCCGTCCCTCCTGTGCTCACGTTGCCTGTAGGGAGCTGGGCCTCAGCACGGTTTGCAGGTGTTCTATAGATGTCTATTGGGGTGGAAGGATTATGGACAATTTGAATTTTCTTGTTTATGCTTTTCTATTTTTTATCCCAGGTGAGCCCTTACACAGAATAACATGAGACTCTCAGGAAAGACATTGCAATTTGGGAAGTCTTGGCCCCAGAATGTGGGGAGTGCCAAGGAGACACACTCAGGTGGTGAACGTTGCCCTGACCCCAGGCTGGAGCACAGCCTGACATGGGCCACAGCAGGGACAGAGGGCAGCTGGGCAGAGGGCACTGCCAGTCCCTCTCCCTTCCTCCCCTGACTTCTTGGCCAGACTGTTCCACGTGCCCCAACAAGCAGGCTCAGAACACTGGTCGGCCTGAGCCTCTTCCCAGCCCACGTTCTCTTTCTCACAGCCCAGGTGGCACACGGTGTGCCCGGGCTCTGACCTCTGCAGTCAGCTCTCAGATTTCACTACTAATGTCGGCTCCACTTCCCAACTGTGCATCAGAGGCTGGCGCCAGGGACAGCTGCAGCGCGTGGGAGTCTGAGTCCAGCCCTGGCCTGGCAGGTCTGTCTGCCGGTGCCAAGAGCAAGTCCCGACTTCCTGCTACCTTCACTCTCTGTCCCCTGCCCTGTGCCCTGCAGGTGCCTGACCCCTCAGGACACCCCTCCTCTGCCATTCCAGATGCTGCTTATTCCTGCCGTCACAACCACCAGGCCAGCCCCGAGTTCCTGCAGAGCCCACCTGGTCTGTCCAGCTGCCCCAGGGTGCTGTGTACTTGGGCCCGCTGTCCTCACACGTCCACAGGCTTCCTCTTTATGCCTCAGTTCCCACCTGCTCCAGCCGCTGATGTTGCCAGAATCCTGGCGGCAGGGAGGCTGTCATGGAGCCAGGTCAGGGGTGACAGGGGGCCCTAAACCACAAGAAGGGAATGGGCTGTGCAGCACTTTCACTGCTTCCTGCTCACTGCTCTTCTGCTGCGGAGTTCCAAATTACCTGGAATGGATTTCCTTTGAGTGCTAATGAGAACATACCTCCCTCCCTGCAGGGGTGGACGGCACATGGATGGGTGTCCCCCAAGGGCCTGCCCGGGGCAGGACCCAGTGCACAGAGAGACTCTCCTCTCTGTACTTTTTATCATGGCAAAACATCAAACTTGAAATTTATCATCTTACCATATTTAGGTTCCAGCTCAGGGCATTAAGTCTATTCACGTGGCTGTGCATCTGTCACAACCCAAACTCAGGACATTTCCATCTTCCCAAACTAAAGCCTCCCCCCATTAAACACTGACTCCCCACTCTCGCTTCCCCCAGCCCCACCCCCCACCTGTTTAGCATCATTTGACGCCTGGACGGCTCCCACCTGCCGCCTGTGGCAGGATGGGGGATGCTCTGCGGACGGGTGTGGGTCACAGGTGTTTGCTGCTGGATCATATGGCAACCCCACACCCACCTTTCTGAGGACCCACCACAGAGGTTCCCACAGAGGAGCTCACCGTGGCACCAACGCTGCCTTGGGAGCGTTTGCTCCAAGTAGCCCCCCCCCGTGGCCTCTAGGGACTTACGCACCAAGAGGAAAGGCCATGGAATAAACAGGGCTCTACGTCCTGTCAGCACCAGCTGCCCAGCCACAGTGCTGGTCATCAGGTCACTGACCTCAGGAGGATGGCCCTGAGGTCCATGTGACCCACTGCAGGGGTGGGAGGACGGGACACAGGAAGAAACCCTTGGAGATGCTCGGACAAGGGAGCCAAGCCCTGGGACTCAGGTGAGTCAGTCTGTGTTGGCCTCTAGCCCCATCTCCAGCTTGAGATGATGAGACTGGATACACAAGGTCCACAGCCCTGTTGGTTAGAAACTCAAGCCCCATAAGAATGTAACATCCCGGTTATGACCTCTCCTCTGTAACATCCCGGTTATGACCTCTCCTCTGTGACATCTCGGTTATGACCTCTCCTCTGTAACATCCCGGTTATGACCTCTCCTCTGATGTCCTTTGCAAACAGCCTCTCTCCCTGCCAGATCACCCTGGGATTCGTTTGCCAGGATGGGACTGGGAGGGGTGTAGGAAGACAGGGTCAGACTGTCATACAGAGAACAGAGGACAGCAACAACACCCCAAAATGTCAAATGAGAATCACCCAGCACTCTGAGCAGTAACTGCCAATAAAGTTCTGCTGTTTCAAGCCACCAAGTCTGTGACACAGTCCACAACAGTAAAAGGCAGCGAATCAGTGCATGATACAAGCAACAAAGCAAACACGCGGGTCACGGGAAGGCATTTGTTCCTGAGGGTCCTTTAGAGCGGGAGCACCCAGGCCACTTCTCAGAGCTGAGGCCTTAAAGGAGGAGGAACTGTGCCTGGAGGTGAGAGGAGAGTGCTCAAGGCAGGCGGAACTGCTGTGCAAACATCCCCCGGGTGGAACCCAGCAGAGGACTGTGCTTCCAAAGCAGGAGGTGACGGCTGCACCTGACCTTTGAGCACGCAGCCCAAATGCCCACCAGCGGCAGAAGCAATAACACAGAGACAGGGGCAAATGTCAGCAGGGACACCTCTAAGAAAATACATATTTGAGCAAAAAGACAACCACAGAAGGCCGCACAAGTTACGTTCACATTTCTATAAAATTCAAAAGAGCCTAAACAAGGCAGCGTCATCTGGAGATAATGCCTGTGCCTATGACAGACATTTCTAAACACAGTGAAGGGACCAGGAGCACACACGTGCTCAGTGGAGCAGGGCTTCTGGGGCGGGAGGCTCCCGGGAAGCCTGGGACGCGGGGACGCCTCCCTCTGCAGGCTCAGGTGCCTACCGTGCATCTCCACACTGGCCCAAACGGACACATCCCTGTGCACGATGCTTCCACACCCTCCTGTAGAACACAGAGAGAACTGGCACTCACGGCAGAAAGCGCCGATGGAGACGAGGGTGTTTACCAGGGGAGGGGGCAGCGGTGGAGACGGCGGTGGGACCAGAAGTGTTAGACCTGGCTGAGAGGGGGTTTCCCCACCACGGTGGGTGTCCTCTGAGAAATCCATCATCTTACATGCCTAAATATAATAATGCCAGGTGGAATACTTATAGTTGCATTCTTTTTACTTAAAAATATTCAGGGGATGCAAATGCCTTTGTTACCCAAACACCTTGTATGCATATGAGGCTTAAGTTGGGTCTTTAAGTGAGCAGTCTTAATATGAATCCACTTATCACGGATAGTAAAGTGCACAAAGGATTTTTGTTTGTTTACATCCAGTATATTTTCCTACTAAAGGCAGCTTGATTCCTCGGATAGAAACACATGTGTCTTTCTCACAGCAGCCAGATGAGTTTCAGGCATTTTGGGGGATAAGTAATTATGCTGCTACAGTATTTCTGTCTGTGAAAATCTTTAAAATGTTAATATGTATTATGACATTTATTATTATAGTGGAGGAGGAAACAATTCCTGGATGATAAAAAAGGAAAAGTCTTTATCCCCAAATGGCTGACTATTGTCAGGGAACCTGTGCTGGCAGCTGCAGGCCCCGCTAATGAGCGAAGCCGACAGCCACATGAAAGGCCGCGTGGTCGGATGCTGGCTCGCAGACTTCGCCCACTTGTTATGTGGCTTGGCTGGGAAGTTACTGATAGAACAAAAAAAAAAAAAAAAAAAAGTCACTACCCAGCTGTTCTGTGGCAGGACAAAATGTTAAATTTAAACCATTAAATAGTTCCGGAAGCAAAAGAACAGGTGGCAAATGGTTTCCAAGGCAGATGGTACTTTTTAATATTTGTATTTGATAGTAATTTGCACTACTAGAGACCAGAACTACCCACTCATATTACACCTTCCATACTTGAATGCTTCAGAAATGGTGGGCCAAGTTTTAAAAATAAACATCATCACTCCTAAAAGACGACTCACGCCCTGCATGCCATCCCTGGGGGCAGGTACCAGAGCGTCGACCCCACAGCCCTGTCCAGGAACGCAGCCCGTTGCCCTTCCTGGCTGAGCAGGGCACCTGCTGAGTGACCTTGGGCCAGGGCCAGGCAGCCCTAGAGAGCACCAGGAGCAAATCTCTGTGCCCCTCGGCAACCTCTACTGTGTTTCGTTCACTCTGCCCTGAAGAATGGCAGCTTCTTCCTAAAAACTAAGCAATAAACATGATACCAAACTCCTCCCACCTCCATCCCGAATGTGCTCCTTCTTTAACCTGAAGCTCTAACACTTAAGAGTTTTTTTTCAATTGTTTGAACTGAGATGTTTCCCAGGCTGATCTTGAACTCCTGGTCTCGAGTCATCCTTCTGCCTCCACCTCTGTCTGCATGCTGGGACTGCAGTGTGACACCATGCCCACTGCAGTGCCCAAGCTTGGAGGAAGGCTGCATGTGAGGCGAACTGTGCTTGGAGGAGATAGGCCTGAAGAAAAGGAACAGGGGACAAGGAACACTCCGCCTCCACACTCCAGGAGTCAGCGTGTGTGTGTGTGTGGGGGGGGCAGGTGCCACCTTGACGGGCAGTGACATCTCCCAGTAACCCTGGCCGGCATCTACCCCATGCCCAGGCAGATGGGGCCTCAGTCCATCAACACACAAAGTAGACAGGGGTCCGTGGTCTCAGGAACTGGGGGGTTGGGTGCACATGGCCACCCTCTCAGCAAACAGGTGTCTGCTGCAGGGGGGTGGGGATAGAAAGGTGCCCCCCACCCAGGTGACCTGGACAGGGGCAGCAGGGACCAGCCTTGCTCCTGTGCAGACAATGCTCTGAAAGAGGAGCCTCGGCTGTGACTGAATCTGCACCTGGTCGCGGGCTCTTTAAATATTGCCTGGCAGCTTACTGAAACCCTCAGTCTCCTTAAAGGCACCTAATTAAGCATATCTGAGGCTCTGTCTCTTTCCATCTCAGAGACGTTTCCTGCAGACCTCCGGTTAATGGAACATTAACTCCCAGGTGACTCCTGCGGCTGCCACATATCATGGTCCGTTAAGTGGGGTTCACGGAAACCTGGGTCCCTCCATGGAGGTTCAACTAACATTAGGGACCAGATAAATCTTTACTGTGAGTGTGTCCTGGGGGCTACAGGACTGTGGTGAACTTCTGGTTCCCCACCACTGGATCCCAGCAGCAACCCCCAAGTCATGGAGACGATTCTCAGGCCATCACCAGATACCCCACGGGCAGAAGACCCCCCCAGGGAGCAATTAACCCCAAACCTCAGGGGTCCCTATGGTCGTCTGACTTTTACCGCCAAGCCAAGGGTATAAACAAGAACTCATTTATATAAGATGGGAATTACCCTACAAATAAAAACAGTATTATTTGTATGTGGATAAATTAAACATCACATGCTTTCATAAAATTAGCTTGAATGTAGAGCAAACGTCCCAGTGAGCTGTGTCCTCCTGAGTTCATCTGGGGCTGTTCCCACAAACACCAGGCAGGGGCCACTGCCCCCCAGCCTCCCACGGGCACCTCTGTCCTCTCCTGTGCCCCACAATGCACCTATTTGGAGGGTGTCAGGCCTACCCTAGGGGCTGCCTGAAGTCAGCAGAACTGCTCCCAGAACAGGTAGGGGTCAGTGTTAGGCATTCTGGGGGCTCAGCCAGGGTCCAGAAAACAGCCAGGAACAGCCCTAATAGGCAAGCTCTGTCGCTCAGCCCCTTCGAGACTTCCTTTTCAGAAAGTACTGGGGGGGGGGGGTATAGAGCTGTCCTGATGGGTGCGTCCTGCCTCAACTGTCTTCTGCAAAAGTGTACAGCTGCAGTCCCCACCACCTGGGTCACGGACCAGAACTAGTCCGTGTCCAGTTAGGAGTCAGCTACGCGGCAGGAGGTGGGCAGTGAAGCTCCATCTGTGCTCATAGCTGCTCCCCATCCTCTCTCACTGCCTGAGCTCCGCCTCCTGCTAGATTAGTGGCAGGTTAGATTCTCCTGGGAGTATGAGCCCCACCGTAGACCGAGCAAGCAGGGATCTGGGTAGTGTGCTCCTCCTGAGTGACAGCCACCAGAGCAAGACTGCGGAGGCACCTGGACACCAGCAACACACTCCATGTCACCGTCTCCATTACCCCCAGATGGGACCACCAGCTGCAGGAAAACAAGCTGGGGCCCCCACCCAGTCTGCGTCAATGTGAAGCTGCCAATCATTTCATTAACATCACAGGGTGATGGGCCCCCACCCCATCTGCATCAAAGTGAAGCTGCCAATCATTTCACTAAACATCACAGGGTGATGGGCCCCCACCCCGTCTGCGTCAATATGAAGCTGCCAATCATTTCACTAAACATCACAGGGTGATGGGCCCCCACCCAGTCTGCGTCAATATGAAGCTGCCAATCATTTCACTAAACATCACAGGGTGATGGGCCCCCACCCAGTCTGCATCAGTGTGAAGCTGCCAATCATTTCACTAAACATCACAGGGTGATGGGCCCCCACCCAGTCTGCATCATGGTGATGTTGCTAATCATTTCACTATATGGCGTCCTCAAACTACGGCCCACGGACCATATGCAGCCCGCCTAGGACATTTATCCAGCCCGCCGGATGTTTTTGCCGCCACTGCCTTCCTGCTTAGCAGCCAACTCGTCCCAGGGCTTGCAGTCCGGCCCTCCAACGGTCTGAGGGACAGTGAACCGGCCCCTTGTTTAAAAAGTTTGAGGACCCCTGTATTACAGGGTGATGGGCAGAAATAAAGAGCATAATGGGTGTCATGTGCCCGAATCATCCCGAAACCCCCCCACCCCCAAGTCCATGGAAAAATTGTCTTCCATGAAATCAGTCCCTGGTGCCAAAAAGGCTGGTCTAGAGGACACAGCCAGGACACCACTGGGGGGTCCCACTGCCTAGGATCCCTTCCCTGGGCACCCACCGAGAATTTGCCAAACTGCTCTGAGCTTAGACCTGGTCACTGGTCCAAACTCAGCCTCGGACTGTTTCACCTTTAACCCGACCGTCTCCGACAGGGCAGGTGGACAGCGGGATTCTGTGGAGCCCCTTGGCAGCCCCTTCTGAGCAATGCCCCTTTCGTCTTTCTGGCAGCCGTTTCCCCCGACAACCACACGACAGATAATGTTGATTCTTGTCTTTTTCCAACCGGATGCACATTATGGCAAATTTGATTATGCAACTTCATCAGATGCAAACAGAAAAGATGCCTAATTACTATGTCACTTTATAAATCTCATAAAAGCCATGGAAAGTAAAGCCAGCCCTGGGGACACAGGTTTTGGTCCTAGGATTAACTTTCTTTGAGAAGAGTAAGTCTCCCTTAGTGAATGTCAACAGAACGATGGATTTTAACCAAACTCTTGACGCGGCTCTAGTTTGATGCTGAGACTATCTGTGTTTTATTTTCTCCTCACACCCTGAATTCGTGCACAGCGGCATGCCAAGGCCCAGGAAGGTTTTGTTCTTGAGAAGACAGTATCCCGCTTATCAGCTGGGTCAGTCACAAGCCAGTGTAGAAATGGCAAGTGCCAATGATCCAGTGCTGGAAAAAACACGTTAGATTTACCGGAAGCAAAATCAACATACCAAAAACACTCCCAGGAGTTAGAAAGTATTTGTCTCTACCACGCACTAGTGCACACGGCCTCGTGTATGTGTGCATATGACCATACACAACTGTGTACATGTGCACATGACCACACACGCCTCATGTATGTGTGCACATGACCACACACACCTCATGTATGTGTGCACATGACCACACACACCTCATGTATGTGTGCACATGACCACACACACCCTTGTGTACATGTGCACGTGACCACACACACCCTTGTGTACATGTGCACGTGACCACACACACCTCATGTATGTGTGCACATGACCACACACACCCTTGTGTACATGTGCACGTGACCATCCAGTGACACACTCTCTGTTACTGATAATCTAGAATTGACTACACTTAGTCCTGCCTTTCACAGAACCTCTAAGATCTCCATAGTCCAGAAAAAAATTAAAACTAAAAGGATAGTGCCACCCACACGAATGGAGAATTGACTCACACCAAACACTTCACCAGTGTGGCTGGGCCACACGGTCACAGCTGACAGACACACCCAGCTATGAACACAGGTGGACAAGAGAGCCGCGGCCAGGCCAGGCCAGGCCAGGCCCCGGGGCCTGCATCTCCCTGCTGAGCCTCTACCCACGCACCGCACCTCTCAGGATCCAGAGCACCTGCAGCAGCCCTGCCCTGAGAACGTTGCAGGGAAAACTTCCACTGCATTACGCGCACCCGTGTGGCTATCCACACCTCTGGTACTTGGTCCCACTCTGGTGGGTGAAACCTGGCTGGTGTCCCAGCACAGGGCCAGCAGGCCAGCCCAGGTGGATGGGATGGTGAGAGCCCTGGTGACACTGAGCTCCTCTCACACTCTGCCCTTGTTTCTTCCACGCTTCTCACAGGAAAATCACACCTTCTCAGGCCCCTGCATTAGCAGACGGGGCGCTGCTCCCCTAAGGAGTCAGTGAGGCAGTCTACTTTCTTCCCTCAGACACTTTAGACTTGGCTTTATGGCAGAATGTATCCAGCCTCACTCAGCTGTCCTTCCCCACAGCTGGGCTTCCTCATCCCACAGGGAACGAACCCAGGGCCTCTGCAGCTATAGGGAGCTGACCTCAGGGACCACCAGCCCCTGCATGCTGGTCAAACCACAGGCGCTGGGAGCAGCTCGAGGCATGCAGAGGCCTCACTCTGTGCCTACCTGTGAAGGGGGGCGTCCTCAGGGGTATTTTGATGGGTGCCAAAGTCAGGAAGTGGCATGGCTGCATGCTGGAGGGTGATGGGGCCCGGAAGCCCTCCGGGTCCATGGAGACCATGGTGGCAGCAGCGGCAGCAGCAATGGCGATGGTGGGACCATTGCTGATCGGCTTAAGGCTGTTATGGCAACCACCTGCAGAACATGGAAGCAGAGGGTCAACATGGGGGCACCCAGGTGACAAATGCCCATCCCACTGTCTCAAGACACCAGCCCCCAAAAAACAAATGAGAGTGTCATTACCCCCTTAGTGAAAGCCCTTCTGTGGACACCATCCCCAGGCTAACCATTCATGATGCTGTCTTAATCTTCCAAAACATGACAAACGCCTACCGTACCTGGCTGTGTGCTGCCCTGCGAGCCGGGGACCAGGCAGGACCTGTGTGCCTTAAAGAGAAACGGCTTTGCTGCAGCGTGCAAGCCATACTCATGCAATTGGAAATGCCCACGGAGTGTGTGCAGCGACTCGGAGCAGCCGCCGCGAAGGCCCCAGGTAGCACCCGAGGACCCTGGGGTGGGTCTGCGGGGAGGGCCCACTCTGGGCCAGGCTGGAGAGCGGTTTCCAGAGCACACAGGGCCTGGTTGGCCACCAAATCCACCCATCTCAGCGTGGGGAGCTCATTAAGGCAAAGGAGGCTCCGGGCTTAGACGTAGCCTGTGTGTTAGGCATTAGTGGAAGCATCTCCAAGTTTGCTTCTTCCTCTACCTTTTCACAAAAACTTTTTAATTCTTTCCTTTAATAGAATCCCTAGTTTCCCAAATAAATGTGGTTTCTAAGAAGTATTTGGTGAAAGCTTAGCATGGCCACTTCTAGACAGAAATTTGGAAATATATTTCTTTTTTTCAGTCAATACTGATTAATTGACTCTTCTGAAACCATATAAGCTACATAGGTAGGAACAGTCCAGTACAGACTTGAGGTAGTTTTTTAAATTCCTCATGCAAAAGCTCAGCCACTCGGGGGTTGAAAAGTTTAATCTGAGGACCGAGATTAGTAGTGACATGGATTATGTAGTAACAGTGGTCATGAGATCACTGCTCTTCTACACTCTGGGAGAGGAAATATGTTTTATAAACCTGAACAAAACTCACAATGCCTGGTCTGGCATATCCCCTCTGTGGCTAATGCCTGAAGATAAAGGATTATAGTGGGGCCCTAGAAAAATCATCAAAAGTGAACAGTCACATGAACAATGGTGAGTCCACAGTTGGGACATCGAACAGCTGGTGTGACTGTACCAAGGAGGGACACTCAGGGCCACAGCAGGGGCAGAGGGCTCATGATGTTAAATAAACAAAATAGCTTAGAAAAGTATATAAGTTCCTGCACCAACAGTGTCCTGTAAGCCGCTGTACATAGGGGAAGTGGGAAATTGCAGCTAAATGTACCATTATTTATAAAATAATGGTTACAAAACTTTACAAAGAGGTGGCCAATATGTAGAGACTATTTTGTAAATATTTTATGAATTTTTAAGGAATATTTTTAAAATAATGGTACATTTAGCTACAATTTCCCATTTCAACAAGCCCACCTGTCCACCCTCTGAATGGTGACCTTTGGGGAAATCTGTATACAGTCATTCCATCAACTCATCTTTATTCAGCTGACAGGGTACCGAGCTTGTCCTAGCTTTGCAGGACAGAGCTGTGAGGGGGCACAGGGCAGCCTGCCCTTGGGGCAGGTACCTTCCAGGCTGGGGGGACACAGGCACTCATTTTGCTCACTTACTTGCTTTATGCCACAGGTGGATGGTACAATGGAGACGGGAAGGTGGGAGGGGTGCACAGTTGGGAGAGGCCTTGATTTAAGTGGGGTGGTCAGAAAAGACTTCACTGGTCACAGAGACAAGAATCAATGAGGTGAGGCCAGGAGATGGCTGGCACCAGGGGAAGAGCAGAGGAGGTGCAGAGGCCCCGTGGCCATGGCCTGTGCTGTGTGTCCAGGAGCTTCAGGGAGGTCAGGGAGGCTGAAGTGGGAGGCCCAGGGCGGGACATGGACGAGGAAGAAGGGGGCAGCCCGGGACAGGCAGGCTGTGTGGGCAGATGTAGGGGAATTGATGACAGGTTTTCTCTCTGAGTGAGGTAAACTGTGGGATCTTGTGGGGCTGCAGAGCAGTGGAGGGGACAGTGTGCGCTCAGCTCTGCTGGGGACAGAGGACAAGGAAGAAATCCAGACTGGAGATAGAAATTTGGAGGCAAGAAGGCATTAAATGCTACAGTGGTACAGTTAATGAGCTAATCAATAATGATACATTGTCAATACATTACTATCAACTAAATGCCAGAGTTCTCACTGGTGCTCATTCTTGGTGCTGTGAATTCTGAGTTTTGACAAAGGTATAATGACACGTGCTCCCACATACAGAGGAGCTTCGTTGCCCTGAAAGCCCACTTGTTCATCCCCCTCTCTCTACCTCTGGCCACCCTGGGGCTCTTTAGATCTCTGGAGTTCTGCCTTTCCCAGAATGTCACGTAACTGGACCCAAACGGTATGCAGCCTTCCCAGATGGGCACGTCTCACCCAGCACTGTGCCCCAAACTCACTCCGCATGGAGTCTCACCTGGTCCCGCGCATCTCACCCGGCCCCCACGTCTCAGCACCCACACGTCTCAGCACCGCATCTCACCCGGCCCCCACACATCTCAGCACCGCATCTCACCCGGCCCCCACACGTCTCAGCACCGCATCTCACCCGGCCCCCACACGTCTCAGCACCGCATCTCACCCGGCCCCGACACGTCTCAGCACCGCATCTCACCCGGCCCCGACACGTCTCAGCACCGCATCTCACCCGGCCCCCACATGTCCCAGCACCATGTCTCACCCTGCACCGCATCTCACCCTGCACTGCATCTCACCCTGCACCGAGTCTCACCCTGCACCGAGTCTCACCCAGCACCATGTCTCACTCAGCACCGTGTCTCACTCAGCACCGTGTCTCACTCAGCACCGTAGGCCTCACCCGGCCCCACGCATCTCAGCACCGCATCTCACCCAGCCCCCACACATCTCAGCACTGCACTGCACCTCACCTGGCATCGCGCTACGCACTCTGCACTGCGTCTCACTCCACACCATGTCTCACTCAGCACCGTGGGTCTCACCTGGCCCCACGCATCTCAGTACCTCGTCTCACCTGGCACCGCGCATCTGACCCTGCACCGAGTCTCACCCGACACCGCACATCTCACCCAGCACCACATCTCACCCGGCACCACATCTCACCCGGCCCCCACATGTCTCAGCACCACATCTCACCCGGCCCCCACATGTCTCAGCACCACATCTCACCCGGCACCACATCTCACCTGGCCCCCACATCTTACCCTGCACCGAGTCTTACCTGGCACCGTGTCTCACTCAGCACCGTGGGCCTCACCCAGCCCCACCCATTTCAGCACCTCGTCTCACCTGGCACCGCACATCTGACCCTGCACTGAGTCTCACCCGACACCATGTCTCACTCAGCACAGCGTCCTCCACGCTCTTTCACAGCTTCACAGCTCACTCCTGTTTTTTGCTGAATAGTTTTTCATTATAAGAATGTTCCTCGGCTTCTTCAGACGCTCACCTAGGCACCTGCCCAGCTGGGGCAACTATGAATAAAGCCTCCATAAACATCTGCATGCAGGCTGCTGTGTGCATGTGGTTTCCGACTTCTTCCAGAAAATGCTACAAAGCACAGTTGTCAGAGTCTATGCTGAGAGTAGGTTCAGTTTCTTAAGAAACTGCCAGACTGTCTTCCAAAGTTGCTGCACCATTTTGCATTCCCATCAATGGTGAGCATAGCTCCTGCCGGCCACACCCTCCTCAGCACTGGTCGGCGCTCTGGATTCCAGCTACTCCAAGAGGTGCACACTGAGGTCTAATTATTGTCACATACAGATATGTGTGTGTGTGTATGTATGTATACACACACATATATGTATGTGATATGCAAATACATGATATGAAGTCAGAAAAAAATAAGTACGATTAAAAATATAGTATCTTTGCAGTTTTTTGGTTTTTTTTTTGGCCAGGGTCAGGTTTCAATCCACCACCTCTGGTATATGGGACTGGCGCCCTACTCCTTTCAGCCACAGGTGCTGCCCCAAAATATAGTATCTTAATAACAAAATCACACTGTATGAAAATTACAAAACTGAGTAAACAAGTATAAAAATGCTCCCCTGGCCTCGACAGCTGAACACTGTCTATCTGTTGAGACCCTGGCTGTCCTAGCATGGCCTGGCTGTGCTGGTAATGAATGCACTGCAATCACCCTGGACCCAAGGCTTTTTCTCTAAATGGCTACAAAGTCAACATTTCCCTTTCTCATGAGATGGGCTTCAGAAGCCCCATAACTAATGGAAGCCCCACACTCCAGGGGATGAGCAAGCCACACAGATCTGCCAATCGCCCGTCCCTTCACAAGGGTGTTGCCTGTTATATGTCAGACGGACACGGTGTGTTCAACACGGCCATTCCTGCATTTACGTCCAGAGACGGGGCGCAGGGAGGGTGTGCGTGTGTGGGTTTAGTGAGGCAACTCTGGGACGGTCTCAGCACACCCCAGAGCCCTCACAGGCGCCTATTACCCAAGGGCACCCCCTCAGCGCTCCCATCTGTACTCACCTCGCCACGACGATTTCTACCGGGATCTAACAGTTTCCACCGGGATCTAACGGTTTCTACAGGATCTGATGGCTTCTACCGGGATCTGACGGTTTCCACTGGGATCTGACAGTTTCTACTGGGATCTGACGGCTTCTACCAGGATCTGACGGTTTCTACCGGGATCTAACGGTTTCTACCGGGATCTAATGGTTTCTACGGGGATCTAACGGTTTCTACCAGGATCTAATGATTTCTATGAGGATCTAACGGTTTCTACCGGGATCTAACGGTTTCTACAGGGATCTAACGGTTTCTATGGGGATCTAACTGCTCGTTTGCTGTGCACTGAGTGGCTTTGGGTGACAGTGCAGATGCTGAACCCCCTGCTGGGACGAGATTTCCCAAGGCAGGAGGAGGTGTTATTAGAGTGACCCTGCGGGATCTCCTAGTCACAGGGACCGCTGGACACTACAGAAGTGGGGCAAATGGGTGGGAGATGGGGCGTCAGTGTTCAAAACCTCCAGCCGCTAAC